CTCTCGGAATCTTGGGCACGCACGCACACACACCCGGCATGGGTTTAAGCCACCAGGTCCGGGACGTGAACAGCGGTCAGCTACATGGGGAGTCCAGCGACATAGCCATTATGCTAACTGCTGTTCCCAGGGAGGTCTGTTGCATGAAGGTAGCCCACTCTCCACGGCTGTGCTGGGGCGCTGTCCCAGGTCGGGGGTCAGCCCACATTTCCTGTAAAGAGCCCTAGAGTAGTTGGGGCCGTGTGGGTCGCGTGGTCCCTGACAGGGCTATGCGGCCCTGCCGTGGCACATCACAACCATGGTGGTGTTGGAGTATAAGCGGGCAGGCGTGGCTGCTCCTGCCAAACTTCACTTACAAAAATCGGTGTCGGGTCAGACTTGGCCCACAGCCTGCAGTTCCCTGGCCTTTCTTCTGTCAGTAGGGGAGGGTTAGAGGTGAGCAAGCAGGCAAGGTCCCTCGCCCGTGGGGCCCAGGAAAGGCGGCCAGGGCAGTGTGATGATGGCATTTAAGATTAAGCTGGTTGAGGTGGCCTCTCTGAGAAGGTGACATCTGAGTTGACAACGGCATGAAAGAGCCCTCTGTCTGAAAGTCATGGCCACAAGGGACAGCCGATGTGACAAGGGACCCTCTGCTGTGTGGGGCTCTCCAACCCTGGAGGGCTGGTTTCTCACCAGCCACAGTGGCCAGCCAGGACCGTCCGGTGCAGAGAGAGGAGGACATCCATGGTGTCCAGAGGAAGGAGAGGTGGCTTCCTGTCTGGGAGTGTTTCCAAAGCCTTCCTTCTCTTGGAAGCTGGACCTCTGCACCCCAAAGGCACCTCTTATGATGCTTAGGCCGCACCCCTCTGCCTGCTCTCGCCACGCCTCCACGAGTCCCAGGACGCTCAGGACTTAATGCTTCACTCACTGTTTGCAGAGCAGTTCCTGTTGACCAACCAAACAGTGACTGAGCAAACACTTACCAAGCAGCCGCGTGAGGTGGGACCTCCTGGAATGAGGGGCGTGTGCAGGAGCCGCGAGGGGCCGCTGGCAAACAGGGCGTCCCAAAAGGACCAAGGACTGTGATTACGATTACCCATTAAACGCCCTCGTCAGCACACAGCCCGGAGTGGGCAGGGCCACCCCTGTGGGCGCTAGCGCAAGGAATTCGCTGAGCAGCCACGTGGCCTCGCCAGGCTACCCAACCCCTTGGCCAGTCCTCTCAGTGGAAGTTCATGCACGTGCAGCACTTAGACCAGCGTCCGGCCATGGGGTTCAACGCCCTCCGCCGCTGTCCAGTAAATACAGAGCGTGATTGATCGTGCTCGGACACATGCTCGAGAACGTCGACTGATCAGTGTACGCCGCAGCCTGGCCACATTCGTGTGGAGCCAGAGAACCTACCTCTCAGTTATCGTGAAGCCTCAAACTTGCCCCTGACTTAGAACGGATGTATGTTTCTTAGGACCAGCAGATGGCGTAATGGCTACGTTGCTGGATTCCCATGTATTTGACCGCTGTTTGAGTCCTGGACCTGGTGGCTTAAACTCACGCCAGGCACATGTGCGTGCGTGCCCAAGATCCCAAGAGGAGAATGGAGGAGAAGGGATTGCAGCGTGGCCATTCCCCCTGGGGGGTGATTTTTCGCTTTCTGTGTCTCTTTTCTGGCGAGTGCACGTGCCCTATAGCAGAAACCTCTCAAAAAAAATAAATGAATAAGAAAGGATGTCTGTTTGTCGCAGAAAGGATACAGAAACCTATAAATAACTAAGTAAAAAGTCTTTATCCAGGTGAAATCATTAACATCTTGATAGCTGCCTATCTAAATTCTTTATGCTTATGTATAATCCCATATACATAACAGATCGAATTATAGCATACTCTTAAATCCTAATTATTTTTTTCTTTAGCAACTGCTGTGGGCACTTTGTGAGGTGCCTATATATTGTTTTTTTTTTATAAAGTTGTCTTTTTCATAACTATGTCATATTTCATTTTGCCAAAGTGCCAGAATTTATGTAATCTAGTGTTTTTGTTTTTGTTTTGTTTTTAAGAGAGGTATTTGCTCTAGGGCATGTGAGCTCACTGGAGAGATAGACAGTGAGAACCACCCCCCCACCCACCCCCGGGGGCGATGTTGCCACAATCATTGCTCCATCCTCCTCTCAAGATTTTGGTCACGCTCACACATGGACCTGGCACATGTTTCAATTCTCTGGGCCTGGGACTTGAACCCACGGTTGGTCATGTGGGAGACCAGCAACGTAACCATTATGCCTTCTACTGGTCCCTGTAATCTAGGTGTATGTTCCACATCTAAATTATTACCTTTTTTTTTTAGCTACTAAAATTCTGTTGGGTGAGCATCTTTATATCTCTCTGTATCTGGTGGTATCTTTGCTATTAAGGAACTGTAGGGGAACCAGCAGTTAGCGTAATGGCTGTGTCACTGGACTCCCATGTAGTCGACCACGGTTCGTGTCCCAAACCCGGTGGCTTAAAACTCACGCCAGGGGCGTGTGCATGCGTGCCCAAGATTCCGAGAGGAGAATGGAGGAGAAGGGACTGCAGCGTGACCATCCCCCCTGGGGGGTGATTTCTTGCTTTCTGTCTCTCTGTCTCTCTCTGTCTGGCGAGCGCATGCGCCCTATAACAAAAACCTCTACACACAAAAGAAAATTAAAAAAAAAAAAAAAAAAGGAACTGTAGGTTTACATAACACTGTGTCATATCTTCATTTTTTATCGAAAAAACGTGTTCGGTTAATGACATCAGTTCTGTTTTTTCCTAGGCTTCCAGCAGCGCGGGGAACTTGGGCGTCCTCATCCCTGTGATCGCTGTGGTGAGTGTTCTTATTGGATGACATGGACTCATGGGCTTTTTGAGCATTGCCTAGCGACGCATAGCGTATCCCTTAGAAAAATGCGGTTTCGGGGACCAGCCAGTGCTGTGGTGGTTCAGGGGCTGGATCGCAATGGCCAACTGCAGTTAGAGTCCTAGACCTGGTGGCCTGAGGAACGTGCCAAGCATGTGTGCTTGTATGCCCAGAATCGCGAATGGAGGGAGAGAGAGAGAAGAAGGGATTGCCGCGTGACTACCCCCACGGGGGTGCTGTCTCACGGTCTCTCTCTGACACGCTCACATGCTCTATGGCAAATTAAAGGAAAAAAGAAAAATGCAGTTTTGAGACCCGACTGCTGCTGTAGCTGTAGCCGTTCCAGCCACAGCCAGCTCTGCTGTGACGGGCGCAAAGTGGCCACAAGGCGTTGCTCCCTTTTCCACGCCCTGGCTGAGATTCCTTGGCCAAGTGACCACGGAGCGCGCCTCGAATCCCCTTCATGTGTGGACCCCAGGTCTGGGTCTGACCCCACCTCATCCTCCGTGTCTCACACCGCGCTGACCCTGGGCCAGCCCCTCCTTCCATCGTTACTCAGGACGAGCCTGGCGCCTCTGGTTGGCACTCAGGCCTTGCAGCTGCAGCCCTCGGGCGCCCGTGGGCAGGTGTGGTTGACCTGCGTAGCGTAAGCCCCAAGTCTGGCTGCAGCCTTGCAGTGATCCAGAGCCCTTCCTGTCTCAGCCCACGTCCGCTTCCCCGATGGGTGTTTGCACTCTTTGGGTCATTTCCATCTGGCAGTTCTAAACCCGAGGCCCTGCATTCTACGACCCCTTGACCCACCCTCTAATCCAGCTCCTTCCCCCTCACCTGTTCCCCCTAGTAGTTCAGGTTTCGGGCACTCGAGCTATGGTGTCTCCTTCACACCGTGCACCAGGCCCAAGAGCGAAAGGCAGGGGTCGTCGAGGGCGAGGGAAGCGCCTGCCCTGATCTCAGCCAGGCCGCAGCTGCGCTCACACCAGCCCAAGCGCTCATCATTATCCCAACGCTGGGGACTCTAGGGGGTCCTGTTTTATCTGGCCAAGGTGGATAAAATGCGGGGCGTGGCTGGTTTACTGTTACTCATCTTTAACAGTAGAAGGCCGTGTTTTACATTTTGTGGATCATCCGCCTTCAGGTCACCTTCCTGCCCATATGCTGCCCTTCCGTCTCCCGCCCTCCCCTCAGGAAGCGGCTGATCCAGGAGGGGGCAGGATCTGTGTTGGGCCAGGTCGTCTTCCTGAATGTGCCCGTAGGACGAGGGGCGAGGCCTCCGCTCAGCATCTGCCTCCTGGCTTTGCACAGTCTTCTGGGATCTTGACCGCTGCCTCCCGGTAGTCAGGTGTCTTCCCAGAGCCCCTTGAGAATCTGAGGATTGCCAGGACTCACTGTGCTATGGTGATTTGTTGTCGATGTTCCATTGGTTAATTTTTTTTTTTTTTTAAGAATTTTTGGCCATAGGGTGTGTGCACTCAGTAGAGAGAGACAGAAAGAGGGAACGTGAGAAATCACCTTCCAGGGGAATTGTCAGGCTGCAGTCCCTTTTCCTTCATTAACTAACCTCTTGGGATTTGAGGCATGCACACCCATGCACCTGGTATGTTTTTCAGGCCGCTGGGTCTGGGACTCGAACTGTAGTGTGGGAGTCAGCGCCTTAACCACCATGCTATATTACACACCCCCTCCTTTGATTATTTTATTGTTTTTAGGGTTTCTGTTTAGGTTTTTGCCACAGGGTGCCTGTGCTCTCCAGAGAGAGAAAGAGAACTCAACCCCCAGAGAGAATGGCCATGCCATAATCCCTTCTCCACCATTATCCTCTCGGGATTTTGCATGCGCACACTCCCAGTGTGATTTTCAAGCTGCTAGGTCCAGGGTTTGAACCATGGCTGTCTGTGTAGGAGTCCAGTGCCTTAACCATCCTGCCCCCCCCCACACACACATTGGTTATTTTTTAAAAGCCTTTTCCACTGTGTAGCTGTGTTGGCCAGGGTGGAGCTGTGTTTAAGAAGTCCCACCATACACAGACCTGGAGGGAAGGGTGAGGGGCATGAAGGTGAGGCGCCCTCGTGGCTTGTTGGAGGGGAGACGCGCCAGCACAGGCTTCACGGAGCAGCAGGTTTTGGACAGAGAGAGAGGGCACTTGGGGTGACACTCAGTGAGTTCTGGGATCTTTGAACACCAGAATTTTAAGGTCCATATTTCTCTATTTTTTTTTTTTTTAATAGAGAAATTTTTGCTATATGGCTCATATACACAGAAAGTGAGAAATCACCCCCAGGGGACGGCCACACCACAGTTCCTTTCCATTCTCCTCTCGGGGTTTGGGGCACAGACACACACGTGTCTGACGTGGGTTTTTACCTCTGGGTCTGGGCCACGTGAGAGTCCAGTGACGTAACCTTTATGCCATCTGTGGGCCCGGAGGTGCGTATTTCTGTGAGCTTCCAAACAAGTTTACTATCGTCCTTTAGAATTTAATGGATGCGTGGACATAATCTATCGGGGATACTTCGCAATAACTGGGGGTACAATAACTGGTGAGGCTGGTTGGGAGCACACAGGCTTGGGGGTCCCTGGGGCCCAGGCTGGACTTGGGGTCCTATTGTGGGACTCCACATGGGCGTCTACGCCTCTCCAGGTGGCCGGGGGGAGGAGTGGGTGTCCGTGTGGGCATGGCCAACATCAGTAATCACTCAGAATACCTTCATTAAATGCTCCCTCACGGTGACCTTTTACATGAATGGAATAAGCATTGTGTTTTGAGCAAAAGTTAATGGTTATGTTGTGGGGGGAGGAAACAAATATTTGATTTCATTGCTCAACAAAGAACACAGAGATCACAGTTCTCGCCTTTGCTTTATGGTTACCCCCTGGACCTTCTGGGACAGCCTGATTTTCAGAGTCTCTTTTTTCAAGTTTAGTACATTTTTCCTCTTCTTCTTCTTTTTTTTTAGGGATGCTTTTCTAGGCTTTTAGCATTTGCTCTTTTTCAGCAAAAGAGACTGGTCTAGCCCTGTGATGACGCAGTGTCCTGCAGTATTATGTTGGGTGGAAATCCCGGTGGCTTTGAGGCAGAAGGCCTAGGATGTGGCCCTAATCCAGTTGTTTTCGTCTTAGTGACCTTGGAACCTAGAGGGGGTCCCTGGGAGGCTGAGTCATGTGATCCCCGAGGCTCCTTCCTGCCTAGGTTTGGAAATCTTTGTCCTGCAACTTTGTGAATAATAGTTCTTCAGAAATGTCCTAGATTAGGACTGGCCCTGTAGCCTACTGGTTAAGGGACCCAGAGCCCACGTGGCTGGCTGTGATTGGAGTCTTGGCCCCAGCGTCTTGGAAAACACAGCAGGCATGCATGTGTGCGTGCCCCAAATCCCAGCAGGGCCAAGAAATGAAGGAAAAGGGATCACAACTTGACCATACCCCACTGAGGGGTGCTTTCTCTCCCTCTCCTCCCCCACCTCTTTGGCAAGCACATGTACCCTGTGGCAAATTTAAAAAAGAGAAAAAAGGAAAAACAAATAAATCTAGATTAAATTGCTTCTTCGGTATGTAGTCATTAGTTAAGTATTTTAAAAGTTACCCAGTGCTTAGTGAGCCAGTCCCCACACTGTCGTAAAGGGTGATTTCAGGGGGGTGTGCCTTCCGCTGGAGAACTTACGCTTCACTTAGAGCGTGTTTACCTGTGACCCTGGGAGCCTTCGTGGCCTTCACAGGTTACTTATTCTGTCGTTGCCTGGAAAACAAAGTCTGTGGCTTAACATTCTTTAGCTTTGGAAGGCTGTGCTGCATTCTCCATAGAAATGCATACACAAGGTGGGGCCAGCCTGTGGTGTGGTGGTTAAGGTATTGGAGACTCCCACATGGCTAACCACGGTTTGAGTCCCAGACTGGGGGGCTTACTTTCTTACTTTCTCTCTCTCTCTCTCTTTCTCTCTGTCTCTCTTTCTCTCTGTCTCTCTCTCTGGTCAAATAAAAGGGACCAGCAGAATAAAATTAATAATTAAAAAACAAAAAGAAATGCATACACAAGGGGACTTCAGAAAGTTCATGGAAAGGGACCAGCAGGTGGTGTCGTGGTTAAGGTGCCAGACTCCCACATGGCCAGCCACAGTTCAGTTCTGGACCCGGCGACATGAATATCACACCAGGTACGTGTGCATGCACACCCCAAATCCCCAGAGGAGAATAGAGGAGAAGGGATTGTGGGATAGCCATCACCCCTGGGGAGTGATTTCTCACTTTCTCTCTGGCAAATACGTGCACCCTATAGCAAACATCTCTCAAAAAAAAGTTTGTGGGAAAATGAAATGAAAGTAGGAGTTTATTTTGGCACAAAAATTTTTTTTTTTTTTTGGGGAGATTTTACCTGTAGGGCGCGCGCGCTCCG